ATGGTTTGTTTGGAAGTTTTCAAATCTGGCCACATCCAAAACGCACATCGGTGACATCTATGTGCTTTTTGCACTTGTCTGCAAAGGAGCAAGAAGTTTTCTAGTCTGGCCAAATCCAAAACGCACATCGGTGACGTCTATGTGCGTTTTGCTCTTGTCTAGAAAAAAAGAATTACTTTCGTTTTGTTTGGTTTTGAAGTTTTCAAATCTGGCCAAATCCAAAACGCACATCGGTGACGTCTATGTGCGTTTTGCTCTTGTCTGCAAAGAAACAAGAACTTTGCTTCGCTTTTGAAGTTTTTATTTCTGGCCAAATCAAAAAACGCACATCGGTGAAGTCTATGTGCCTTTTGCTGTTGTCTTCAAAGGAGCAAGAAGTGTTCTCCATTCTGGCCAAATCACACATGCACATCGGTGATGCTATGTGCGTTTTGCTCTTGTCTGCAAAGAAACAAAAATTGCTTTTGTATGGTTTGGTTTTGAAGTGTCCAAATCTGGCCAAATCCAAAACGCACATTGGTGACGTCTATGTGCGTTTTGCTCTTGTCTGCAAAGAAACAAGAACTGTTTTTTCTTGAAGTTTTTAAAGCTGACCAAATCCAAAACGCACATCGGTGATGTCTATGTGCGTTTTGCTCTTGTCTGCAAAGAAACAATTGCTTTGTTATGGTTTGGTGTTAAGTTTTCTAATCTGGCCAAGCCCAAAACGCACATCGGTGACGTCTATGTGCGTTTTGCTCTTGTCTGCAAAGAAACAAGAATTGCTTTGGTATGGTTTGGTCTTGAAGTGTCCAAATCTGGCCAAGTCCAAAACGCACATCGGTGACGTCTATGTGCGTTTTGCTCTTGTCTGCAAAGATTTGAAGTCTTCAAATCTGGCCAAATCCAAAACGCACATCGATGACGTCTATGTGCGTTTTGCTCTTGTCTGCAAAGAAACAAGATATACTTTGGTATGTTTTGGTTTTGAAGTCTTCAAATCTGGCCAAATTCAAAACGCACATCGTTGACGTCTATGTGCGTTTTGCTCTTGTGTGCCAAGAAACAAGAATTGCTTTGCTTTTGAAGCTTTTTAAACCTGGCCAAATCCAAAGCGCACATCGTTGACGTCTGTGTGCATTTTGCTCTTGTGTGCAAAAGAAACAAGAATTTCTTCGGTTTTGTTTGGTGTTGAAGTCCTCAAATCTGGCCAAGTCCAAAACGCACATCGGTGACGTCTATGTGTGTTTTGCTCTTGTCTGCAAAGATTTGAAGTCTTCAAATCTGGCCAAATCCAAAACGCACATCGATGACGTCTATGTGCGTTTTGCTCTTGTCTGCAAAGAAACAAGATTTTTTTTGGTTTGGAAGTTTTCGAATCTGGCCAAATCCAAAACACACATCGATGACGTCTATGTGGGTTTTGCTCTTGTGTGCAAAGAAACAAGACTTGCTTTGCTTTTGAAGTTTTTAAACCTGGCCAAATCCAAAACGCACATCGGTGACGTCTATGTGCGTTTTGCTCTTGTCTGCCAAGAAACAAGAATTTCCTTGGTTTTCTTTGGTTTTGAAGTTTTCAAATCTGGCCAAATCCAAAACGCACATCGGTGACGTCTATGTGCGTTTTGCTCTTGTTGCAAAGAAACAAGAACTGCTTTGTTTTGAAGTATTGAAACCTGGCCAAATCCAAAACGCACGTCGGTGACTTCTATGTGCGTTTTGCTCTTGTCTGCAAAGAAACAAGATATACTTTGGTATGTTTTGGTTTTGAAGTCTTCAAATCTGGCCACATCCAAAACGCACATCGTTGACGTCTATGTGCGTTTTGCTCTTGTGTGCCAAGAAACAAGAATTGCTTTGCTTTTGAAGCTTTTTAAACCTGGCCAAATCCAAAGCGCACATCGTTGACGTCTGTGTGCATTTTGCTCTTGTGTGCAAAAGAAACAAGAATTTCTTCGGTTTTGTTTGGTGTTGAAGTCCTCAAATCTGTCCAAGTCCAAAACGCACATCGGTGACGTCTATGTGTGTTTTGCTCTTGTCTGCAAAGATTTGAAGTCTTCAAATCTGGCCAAATCCAAAACGCACATCGGTGACGTCTATGTGCGTTTTGCTCTTATCTGCAAAGAAACAAAAATCTGTTTGGTATGGCTTGCTTTGAAGTTGTCAAATCTGGCCAAATCCAAACCGCACATCAGTGACGTCTATGCGCCTTTTGCTCTTGTCTGCAAAGGAGCAAGAAGTTTTCTAGTCTGGCCAAATCCAAAATGCACATTGGTGACGTCTATGTGCGTTTTGCAATTGTCCGCAAAGAAACAAAAATTGCTTTTGTATGGTTTGGTTTTCAAGTGTCCAAATCTGGCCAAATCCAAAACGCACATCGGTGACGTCTATGTGCGTTTTGCTCTTGTGTGCAAAGAAACAAGACTTGCTTTGCTTTTGAAGTTTTTAAACCTGGCCAAATCCAAAACGCACATCGGTGACGTCTATGTGCGTTTTGCTCTTGTCTGCCAAGAAACAAGAATTTCCTTGGTTTTCTTTGGTTTTGAAGTTTTCAAATCTGGCCAAATCCAAAACGCACATCGGTGACGTCTATGTGCGTTTTGCTCTTGTTGCAAAGAAACAAGAACTGCTTTGTTTCGAAGTTTTGAAACCTGGCCAAATCCAAAACGCACGTCGGTGACTTCTATGTGCGTTTTGCTCTTGTCTGCAGAGAAACAAGAACCGCTTTGGTATGGCTTGGTGTGGAAGTTTGCAAATCTGGCCAAATCCAAAACACACATCGGTGACGTCTATGTGCGTTTTGCTCTTGTCTGCACAGAAACAAAAATCGGTTTGGTATGGTTTGTTTGGAAGTTTTCAAATCTGGCCACATCCAAAACGCACATCGGTGACATCTATGTGATTTTTGCACTTGTCTGCAAAGGAGCAAGAAGTTGTCAAATCTGGCCAAATCCAAAACGCACATCGGTGACGTCTATGTGCGTTTTGCTCTTGTCTAGAAAAAAAGAATTACTGTGGTTTTGTTTGGTATTGAAGTTTTCAAATCTGGCCAAATCCAAAACGCACATCGGTGACGTCTATGTGCGTTTTGCTCTTGTCTGCAAAGAAACAAGAACTTTGCTTTGCTTTTGAAGTTTTTATTTCTGGCCAAATCAAAAAACGCACATCGGTGACGTCTATGTGCCTTTTGCTGTTGTCTTCAAAATCTTCAAAGGAGCAAGAAGTGTTCTCCATTCTGGCCAAATCACACATGCACATCGGTGATGCTATGTGCGTTTTGCTCTTATCTGCAAAGAAACAAAAATCTGTTTGGTATGGCTTGCTTTGAAGTTGTCAAATCTGGCCAAATCCAAAACGCACATTGGTGACGTCTATGTGCGTTTTGCTCTTGTCTGCAAAGAAACAAGAACTGTTTTTTCTTGAAGTTTTTAAAGCTGACCAAATCCAAAACGCACATCGGTGATGTCTATGTGCGTTTTGCTCTTGTCTGCAAAGAAACAATTGCTTTGTTATGGTTTGGTGTTAAGTTTTCTAATCTGGCCAAGCCCAAAACGCACATCGGTGACGTCTATGTGCGTTTTGCTCTTGTCTGCAAAGAAACAAGAATTGCTTTGGTATGGTTTGGTCTTGAAGTGTCCAAATCTGGCCAAATCCAAAACGCACATCGGTGACGTCTATGTGAGTTCTGCTCTTGTCTGCAAAGAAACAAGAAATACTTCGGTACGGTTTGGTTTGGAAGTCTTCAAATCTGGCCACATCCAAAACGCACATCGGTGACGTCCGTCTATGTGCATTTTGCTCTTGTCTGCAAAGGAGCAAGAAGTTTTCAAATCTTGCCAAATCCAAAACGCACATCGGTGACGTCTATGTGCGTTTTGCTCTTGTCTGCACAGAAACAAGAACTGTTTTTTCTTGAAGTTTTCATTTCTGGCCAAATCAAAAAACGCACATCGGTGACGTCTATGTGCCTTTTGCTGTTGTCTTCAAAGGAGCAAGAAGTTTTCTCCATTCTGGCCAAATCACAAATGCACATCGGTGTCGTCACTGTGTTGCAGCCCCTGCACGCGCGGTTGCCCCAATGCTTCTTCTCTGTCCATCATGGTGAACAAACATAGAAGCAAGTTGTTCTGTGTCAATTCTTTGTACCGACGAACAGATTATGTGTGCGTTGTGCCGCTTCATGGAGATGACTAAGCTTTGTCGCGACCTTGTCACACCATCGTTACATAGTGTCTTGACGTCCGCCCATCTCCAGTCTCCTCTCAAACCTTTGACTAGTGCCACCAAGCCCTTTGCCGACTCACGCAAAGTTTCTTCGTTCCGTGCCAATGTCCCATGTGAATGCTGACAAGCCTGCTCGAATGTCAACGGTTACAACCTTGCTAGCAAACCAGTGCACACTTGGGGTCATTGACACAACAACGGCATCTTCTGGTACCTGGCGCTGTGCCACTTGAAAATGCACGCCTCCTACAGACCTGGGGATGTCTTTTTGGCTTCGCGCCGCACCAAGGAAGCATGAACATCGTCTGAAACTTGTGAGTTGGGTGAGGAGGAGGGGGGGCACGGCAGAAGATTCCCGGGACGAGCCGCAAACATGACCACGCGGTCCGCACACTCACTTGCAACCTGAAGTCGCGAAGCAAAACATCTTCATTGTGGCCCAAGACCCTGGACCTCTTTCAACCGTTAATCTAAGCCAGGACACACCCCCAGCGTCTTTTACTCGCAATTTGGATGGCACTGCTATGGAAAAGCCTTTGCCATTCAACCTCGACGAGGCCGCAGCGGATGCCACCAAACTTGCTTCCAGGCTCCAGCGTGTCATACCCACACTCCCGAGAGGAAAGATGTCGTTTCATCTCCCGGCGAGCGCTGATGAGTCCCCCACCACCAGACCCGATGCTTCTCATTCGAAGCACGGCTGCAGCGGTCTCCGCAAGAAACGGGGCGAACTGCGACTCCACACGGAATTGTCACCGAGTCACCGAGTGGCCAGCGTTCGAACCATCGGAAGGAGCTCAGCCCAGGGCCTCATCGTCGTTGCAACCCCAGCCGCACACAGCTCTCCCTGTGGGAAGGCACGGAACGCCCATGGCACCGACTGCACTTTCACAAATGCTTTTCCAGAATCGGCATTTCAAGAGCATGGGCTTCTTGCGCAGATTCTGTGAGGGGCCGATAATGAAAACCACTGACCCAGCCGTGCCCACTCCAAATGCCGTGGCACTAGAAGCGAGAATGAGCTTGCCCGCATCATCAGCCAAAGCCTGCGTGCTATCTCCGACTTCTTTCTCTGTGGCTCTCCTCTTCACGGGCGGTTCCGACGCAGGATCGCTACCGACCACGGCGCGTCCTGGCCGAACGCGCTGCACTCGCCTTCCATGCAAGCTCCACGCTGTGCTGAGGTCCCGCATCTGCCACGATCACGAAGCGTCTCTGCGGCTGCTTCGAAGAAACTTGGTAGGGTCTCACCTCTTCGGTGGGTTCCTCGTCTGCGGCAGCAGGGCGTGACATGTCCTGCGGCCGATTCGCCAGCTGATGCGTCAAGCCACAACCAGAAACAGGTCTCCACCCAACATTTGAGGGCCTCGACAACGCAACACGGGGAGTTTCGGACGCCCCTGAACTTCTCGAGGCTGCAACACTGGAGGGTCCTGCAACAGTGCAATGGAATGCTGTCGAAATGAGACCCAAACCATCATCGATGTAACAGTGCATGCAGCTTCCAAAACCTGTTGCAGTTTCATGACTAGCTTGCAGATTTTGGCTTGGTGGGCCCATGCGCCCTCGCAAAGGCTTGGGAAGTACCAAGATCAACAAGACTAACCAACAGAGCTTTTTTCGAGGTAACGACCAACTTAGTCATGTGCATGTCTGAACATGCTTGAATGCTGCTGCTTGGATTTGGAGTGTTGCATGCGGCATTGATGGAACAAAGACTTACGCAGTCTTCTCACAAACAGGGGACTGTTGATCTACTTGCTGTCTCAATGGTGGTGTCCTCACGCAAAGTCCTCTCACATGTCGGAACTTCTTTCTTTTACAACCACCCCAGATCAAAGGCCGCCCCGCTCCAACCCCGCCTCAAGAAAGCTCTGATGGAAGGCTTGTGGAACAGAGCCGAATATGGACCTACCATTTATTTGTCGACACGGCTGGGATTACTGGCTGTACGGGAAACGGCCATGGCATCACGGATATGGGCTTGATAGACGGTTGAGTCAGTGTTGATAGCTTATAAGCAAGAACTGATGAACTGGAGTGATCGTACATGGCAAGGCCGCCTGCCCTCAGAGCCGCAGCTCGTCCGTGTCCAACGATGGTGACGTGCAGCAGAAGAGCTCGCCCACGGCCTGGCAGTCGAGCGGAGGTCTTCGCAGCAACAAGATGCAACAAGCAGACGAATGGCTCCGACAGTTGGGACCGCGGCCTGAAACCATTCCAAAGCCACACTTCGCTGCAAAGCGGCCTGCCACTGGCACCATCCATGACTCAACCAGTCTCAACCACGTTAAGATGTTTGGCTGGACCTGCCTTGTCGTGGACGGCCTGCAGCATCTTCCGCATGGTTTCGTCTAATTGCCGCCTCCTTTCCTGCACAAGAGATCAAGCCAGTGACACGACAGTAACAGGGCATACCCTGGTCACCCTGGTCACTCGGACTCCCGCCTGGCGATTTTCACTCAAGGTTGGATATTCGTGTGGCTCAAGCGTAATGTCAGTCCAGTACAGTACATATACTCCCAGATAAACATCCTGCATCAAGAAGGCTGCAACAGCTAAATGCTGAAGAACAGAGGCGAATCTCCTGGCTGAGTCGTTGCCGGACCGTCGTGGCGGGTTGCCCAAACCTTCCCCCCCTCTTGAACCACAAATCTGCATGACGATCCACATCCGACGACGTTCGGGCTGTTGCCAGCATCCTGCTTCGAGGAGTCGCAGGCTGCATGCAGACGGACGCACAGACAGACTCAGACAGGCAGACACACAAACAGACCGCCACCATTCCTTTAGCTTGGATCCTGCTGGCCCATGCTTGGATTATCTGACAAGTGAATCATCCTACACCAGCTTGCGTGCCGTTAGCACCTATGGGCCCAGCCCCCCACTTAACGCCCGTATCTGGCCCTGCAAATACTCCGCTAGTGCCTCTGCACATTGGTGAGTTTGGATCGCATTGCCAGGAAGAAATTGCAATGTACACAGGTTCGTGGCCTTCGACCTCCTGGAGAGAAGCCGCCACCGAACTTGATCAGCCCCTGTTTCATTAGATCTTGTATTCACCGCCTTGCTCGGCATAAGGTCCCTCGTTAAAACCGAGACGGTCATGCCCTGACCAAGAAAACCATAGGCCCGTTGAATTCAACAATAACAAACTCACAGCGGCAACCTAGCACCCCGTGGTTCAAGCCCAAGGCCGGCATGAATCCCAAACTAGTCCGCGATATTCCGAGCTCCCAATCACCTGCCGCCCCGAAGTGGCCAAGAATCTGAATCTGGAGCCCTCGGCCGCCCGAAAGCACACCCCCAGGAAGCAGAGCGGGAGTCTTTTCGTCATGAAAATCGGCTCGGCTCGCTGTTGCTAGAAACCATCCTCACAGCGAAGGATGGTTTGCAGCCCGGACCAAGACAGGTTAGTGGACAGAAACCTTCTCCAGACAAGGGTGATCAGCGGATGCACAGCGGGCGACGCACGAATCCGCAGGAAATATGGCGAGCTGCAGATGCGGATCCACATCCGACGAGCCATGGTCCGAACCATCGGGAGCTCTGCCCAGGGCCCAGGGCTCCATCATCCTTGCAGGCCCAAGTCCCAAGAACCCACGAGCCCATGCCATTCTTACTTGAGCAAGAGCAGCTGTGGAAACTTAGAGCGCTTCCAGCAAGTAAGGGCTTTCGTGGTACTGCCCGATGTACTTGTAGCACTTGTAGCAGCCCGAGAGCTCTTTCAGCTTTTTGTCGAAAGCAAGGAAAACAACCTTGTAGTTTGTAGAGGGGTCGAAGTCATTGTGGTTCCCAAGGTCTCTCGTCCACAGGACTTTCACGGGTGCATCCACAAAGGAGTTGGGCCCATATTGCCATTTGGTAAGATCTTCTGATGTTGCCTGAGTGATTTGCAGCCGGTCTTTGTCGCAGGCAACTCTCCTCGTGGATCATCGTCGGCACAAACAGGGCATGGGTCAACGGCCTAAACTGTTCTCCTTGGAAGTTCGTCTCCAGCGGGCTGTTCATTACCTTACCATATTGGTCTTGCCCCGGATGATGTGCAAGTCGAAGGACAAGTTCTTGGCAAAGCCCAAGAGCATCTTCACTGGATCTTGCCACTGGAGTGATAGCTCTCGGAGTGAGCCCAATGCTTGAATCGACATCACCGCTGCCCTGCAATGGAGAAGCCTCGCATGCCGACCGAGACTTGCTCTTCTAGGTAGGCTATTTCAAAAGCCGTTAAACTGTGAACTAAATCGCACCAAGACACGGACTCGGCTTGGATCAAGCCGAGAGATACTGAGCAGGCACAGGAGGTTGAGGGCCAAGAGAAGCACCAGACTACTTGGCAGCAAATCAGTCTGGCTGCAAGCTCGACAGGTCGCATAGTCCGGATGGTGGCGGACCTGGCAGTTGTTGCAGGCTTGGCTCTCCCTGCCAATTGCACAAGTGCCCAGGCCGGCTGAGGGCACTGATACCGATCTCGACAGCGGAGCTAATGGATGCAGAGGAACGCGCGGCCTCCACAACGCCACGCACGCACTTTTGGAGGCCCCTGAACTTCTCGAGGCTGCAAGACCGAAGGGTCCTGCGGCAATGCAACGCAATGCAAACCAGTTAGACCTGAACCATCCCACATACAGTAGTACATGCAGCTTGCCAAACCTGCTCCAGCTTGATGATGACTAGCTGATGGATTTTGGCGCCGTAAGCGCGAGCGTCGTCGCAGAGGCCGGGGAACTACCGAGATCAACAAGATAAACCAACAGACCTTCTTTTGAGGTAAGGACCAACTTAGTCACGTCCATGTCTGAACTTGCTTGAATGTTGATGCTTGGGTCTTGATTAGCAGGGGAGTGTTGCATGCCGCATCGGTAGAACAGAGACTTATATAGTCTTAAAATTCTTACCACGCGACAATAACAAACAAGGGAGTGTTGATCTGCATGCTGTGCCACAGGTCGTTACAGCAACAAGCCATGTAGAAAGGGCGGTGTTCAAATGCAAACAAAAAGTCTCTCACATGTCGACACTCCTGTCTGCTATGAGCGCGCCAGATCAAGGGCCACCGCTCCCCAACTCCAGAAAGCTTTGGTGGAAAACTGTTGGAACAGAGCCGAACGTGGACCCACCAGCGTTGTAGAAATTGCTGTGGGCGCGACCACGATTACTGGCTGTGCGGACAACGGCCATTGCATCATGGAAGCGAGGTTGAGACTGTTGATAGCATATAAGGAAGAACTGACGAACTGGAGTAATCACGCATGGCAAGGCCGCCTGCCCTCAGACCGCAGCTCGTCCGTGTCCACCGATGATGACATTGACATGCAGCGGAACAGTTCTCCCATAGCCTGGCAAGCGAGCGGAGGTGTACGCAGCAACAATGCAGACGAATGGCGCTGACAGTTGGGGCCGCTGCTTGAAACCATCCCAGAGCCACTGTTCGTTGCCACGCGGCCTGCCATTGAGGTCAAGATGTGCAAGCCTGCGATGCATGGATTTCGCTGGACTGGCCTTGTCGTGGACGGCCTGCAGCATCTTCAACATGGTGTCGTCTAACTGCCGCCTCCTTTCCTGCAAAGAGATCAAGCCAGTGACACGACAGTAACGGGGCATACCCTGGTCACTCGGACTACAGTCCTGCCAAGCACATCTCAACACTTTGGCATTGGGCGTGGATCTGCGGCAGATCCAAGTTAGATGTGGATCCGGCTCAAAGGCAGGGAAGGCGAAGAGTCACCAACAAGGTCCAGGCCAGTCCTTCAGGGCCCCCCACGCTACGTCGACCGGATATCAATGGGCTGAACCACATTTGCAGCAGACACCACAACATGAAAGACTGCACGAATTGCTCAACTTTGCTGGATGACAGTGCGAATGTAAACGGATCCAATTGCTTTTTCTTGCTGCCTTTAGTCGGACTGCTTGCACGCATGCCGCTCCAAACGTAAGCGTGACGGAGCACGAATTTGTGGAACTTGCCTCACATCAACCGCCACTTTCGGCTGGCTGGTTTGGTAAAAGGACTCTAGCCACGGCCAGTCCTTAGCCTTATTCAAATACGACATGCTGACCGTGTACGGCCCAGCATCAGCATGGCCACCCAGCGGCTCCTACGGCGTCACTCCTCGGACTTTTACTTCTTCCTGACCGGCAACTTTGAACAAGCTAAGCACATCAAGGTCCCATGTCGTGCCTTGCTGAGGAACCCAGTCGGATCCACCTTCGCCAAAATCGATTAAATCGGCATGGGTCGCCCAAAGGAAGTCAGATTCACTGTGCTTCCCGGAGCAACTTCTGGGCATCCGGGCTTCTTTCACTACGTGCTTGACCTCCCAAGCAATTGGGTCAAAGTAGACGCTGCGCGCGTTGCCTGTGCCATCATCCTGCACGCACCATGCTTGCACGATTCGGAGCCACAGCAGCCCTCCGTTCCTGAGGCTCCGCGGCTATCCACATCTTCGAAGTCTTGTGGTACCGCCATCCACGCTCGTACCTTTGCAAGGCCAAGGAACCATGGCAAGTCGAGACAAACTGATACTGCAAAACGGCGCACAGCTGCCACGCCGCGAGGGCCTTGGCACGCACCAACGGTCTCGTTTCTTCAAGCCTCTCTTGCCCGAACAAGCAAAGCAAACAACAAGGACTGGGAATGGAACTTGTTGCATGTCCCTGGGCATACTGTAGAACATGTAGAACAAAGTCTCCAGGGAAAACTTTGCAAAGTGCTCCTGGCAGGTAGTTGATCACATGAGCTCATCTCGCTGTGCTTCAACTCATGTCGGGGATTGTCAACCCCAAGATTTGCGGCTTTCCGATGTCCAAGACCTCACGCAAACCCTCATTTGGCGGAGCTGGAAGTGGCAAGCCCTGGCAAACCAACACCGGGACCGGCCCAAGCCCAGACTTTTACCTTCAGCCGTGAAACGTGCCTTGAAACTGGGACTCAGCTTTTGTCGCTTCTTTACTCCCCCGCTTGTTCGAAGATATGACACCATTACAGTTCACCATCTCACTCCCCTTTCGGAACAAGGTAGGACGAAAGCAGCGGCCGGCTCCAGCATGGCGCATAAAGCTCTCTTGCAAGTCAAGCCGTGCAAAAAAAGGGCAGCAACATGCCGAAGTCACCACTTTCGGGCTCGGAGGGTTCATGAAGTAGCCTGGAACATCGTTTCAGATGCTAAGCAGGCAAGGATGTTGCATGAGGTTGCTGTCAAGGTGCTCTGAGGAAGGTAGAACTCCGGCTCCATGGGCGGTGGGGTGTCGTTCCTGCACCCACAGGAGCGGCACCGACTGCAGGAAGCTGGGGCCCACAAAGAGACTCGTGCCTGCCTGATTGTTCCTCCTGTGTGAACTTGAGCCCTTCCCTGAAAGTTTGTCAAACAGTCCTGCCAGTCAGATCCATTCCCAATGCCAGGGTGTTGAGATGTGGATCTGACATTCGAACCACCTGCGCAGCTGTTCATTTTCAACTGTGCACAGGCTCTGCATGGGGGCAGCCTGCCTCCAAAATCCCCCCCGTTCCAAACTTGTCCCGGAGGGTGCGGGAAGCCTGGCGCAGGTGGAGCTTGAGGCCAGGCACGAAGAGTTCTGCATTGTAGGAGGTTTCAGGGGGGATCCCACAAAGGGGGAGCCCAAATTGAAAACACTAATAAGCTTCAATTCAAGCCCAATGAACATCGTCAGCTGGAGGGCAGAGTGGCCTGCCTGCAGCAAGCGCTTCCGGCACTTTCCCCAGGTGGGCCAAGCCAAATTCGGGTTTCCTGCCTCGTCCGGGCATTTCTGCGCGAAACCTCTGAGGCTGGGACGAGTCTATTGGACTGAATAACCTCATATAATCTCTGTGTTTACATCAGAACATTGCAACATCCTTTCTTGTATCCGGAGCTGATGCATCCTCAAGTCCTCTTGAAGGTTCATGGGTACTTAAAACGCAATCATAGCTGTACATAGCTGTAATTACTTATGACCCACTGATAACCCTCTTAGGGGACTTAAGGGGGCTTACAACTGGGTTGTCCGGCGAGGACTGGGTTGTCCGTGTGGCGCTAGATGGACTTGGCAGAATGTTTGCTTCCTCTACGCCCCGTTCCCCGGCCACCCTCCTGGATGGTAATGGTAATTGCATGTTCTGTACCCTCATCTCCGTTTCTAACCGAAGCATTCGCAGATCCCTGCAAGCATAAGAACAGTCGTTTTGTCCGAAGCAGACTGATGATTGAGAGCGAACTTCCAGGAATTCCAGATCAAGACACACTCGGATGTATACGCTTCCACGTAGATAATTCGTCTCATGATGCTTCATGCTGAAGTCAAGGGTATGTGAACCGTAGCACCGGGGCACCATATTATGGAGACCAAGCCAAAGCATGTTTCTGGATACTGGGGCACCACTTCAAATCCAAGACAAGGGCACACGCGCATTTCGGTGCCAAGACAGGCCAAGAAAACGCAGATCTTAGCAATGCAAAGCGATGCAGAATGCGCCTCCGCCATGGGCGCATCAGCCGTCGTCAGAAGGCTTACCTCCACACTTTACCCTCTCATTCTAGCTCTTCTCTGTTCTGGTAGTAAAGCCTAATGGCGCCCAAGCTCAATAAAAAAGGGGTTCGGAACAGGCGCTGTTCTTGTTGTTGGTGTGCTGTTGCTGGATTTTGTCATGCCCGGAATTCTCATATGCCACTTCCGACTTCAACTTGCTCCTGGTGGCAGGTCTGGCTCATGCCGCCCTAATTAACCCTGTTTGCAATGAAGCCAGAGCTGGCCAACCCCATACTTAGGACGTGGAAGTCATGGAAGCAAAATCCGCACTGAAAACCGATAACTGTGGAACTGGCTGCAAACTATTCGGCTGAGCTTCTGGTAGGAAGCAAGAAGTGTTTTATAGTGTTTTGCAGCAGCCTCATTGCAGTGCGACTCTGTCGCTGAACAGCAGAGGCACAGTCTCATTGTTGCAAGGCGAGCGGCGCTGGCCCGACATTGCACCATTGTTTGGTACTTGACATCTTCTGCAGCTCAGTGGACCTCATAGATTTGTGGATCCTGCGAGAAAGGGAAGCAATGGGATTGAAGGCCGCAAGCTGATTTATGCGCTTGGGCATGTAGGAGGCAGACGCGTAGCCGAGAACAAGGAAGACGTCTGGTATACGTCCTAGCTCCTGATGGCAACTTGTCGCATCATACCATGAGCTTTAACTTGTGATGTCAAAGCTCTGAACCAGAGCGCGTCTCTTTCGACGTCGAACAGATGCTAAGACGCTGTTCTTGAGCTTGCAACCACTTCCTAAGCACATGCAAACATGCCCAACCGTCCTGGTCAAAATGGCACCGCCATGTCGAGCCTGGCGGCCTGAGCGAACAAAGCCCCTTCACCACTGCACACTGCGCAGTCCCAGTCAATTACACAGGAGCCAAGGCTTTGTTGACACTCTTCAATCGCAGCTGCTCAAAACCTCTACTTCGAACAGGTTGGTCAAGTGCACGCCTGGTCGGCTTTGGCGGAGTCCGGCACACAGATGGGCTCCGCGGCAAATCGGAGTCCTCAAAAGGCTCGAATATGGCGCTTAAACTTCCTAGACCAAGCCGCAGCCTCGGAATTGACAAAGGAATCCGGAAATATGTCCGCCTCATTTTGGCATTGACCGTACCCAGAGTCCTGCGGTAAAGCGCAGCGGTGTGGCCAGGACGCTGGCGGCAGTATGACTATTCTTCGTATATCAGCAGCGGTTCAACCAAGAAGTCTTTAAAACCAGCACATCTCAAACACTCTCACAAGGCATACAAACACTTGAACCTGCAAGTGTTCGACGTGTTGATCCATGGCGGGAGCAGTGACGCATGCCCGTGTCATGCTGTTGCAGCGGTGAACAAAAATGAAGCCTCTCCACATGCTTCAGCACGCATGTGTTACACAAAAGCTTGCGCGGGTTCTGCAAGGTTGGGTGAGTTTGGGTGGTTTTGCCGGGTTTCGAGTGGCCGTTCAAGTGTTGCTTCTGCTAAGAAATGAAAGCAAAACATTGGAAAACGCGTGGCTCAATGAAGATGTAATTCTGCATAGCTCACCACAACAGCGTCACAGCAACGACAGACCGTCTCAGCCACACTCTAAGCATTGAGCGGCCGATTCTTAACGTTACCAGTTTGGATTTGGTACAGCAGGCGGATCGCAATCGGTCCACGCCAAACCCGTACAAGCGCCAAACATGAAAAAGTGACACGGCCGGCGTACAAGCGCCGAAACTGGAAAAGTGAGACGGGAAAGCTGAACAAGGCGTGCAGTTCACACTTTCTCCTTTGTGCGGAGGAACAGCCTTCGACCCAATGCAGCCTAAGGCCCACAAGCCTGATTGCGAAACTCACACAGAGCCAGTTTTCGGATTACCCAACCGGGAGAATGACTAACTGCTGCAAGAATCCCAGCTTCCAACGCGCCAAAACCGAGGGAATATGCTCCGCTCACAGCGAAACCGTGTGACAGTTGCATTCTGACAGGAATGTGCGCAAAAACCCAAGAAACATGCACCGTACACAGCGAAACCGTGTGACAGTTGCCACTTTTCGAGCGCGAACGTGCAAAAACCCGAAGAAAACACACACACTCCAAAATAGATTGCCAAAAACCCGGAACGGGAAGGGAATATCGTAACGTTGGACACTTTCTAAAAAAAACAAATCTTGAGATTGGGCTACAGGCCGGAGCAGCACGGGAGAAGTGCAGTCATTTGCCGGTCAGTTACATGCTAGAAGGAATTATGGGTCTTCTGATTTGACCGCTCGCATCAACTGCAATTTCGCGTTCTCAACTGAGGCGCCGTGGGGCCGTAAAGGAAGGGGGGGAGGGGGTGAGCCGATACACCCCTTAAGGATTACTCCTGTGGGAGTGTATGACCAGTTAAGTCCCGTGGGATCTAAGGCAACGCCCAGCACACGGACGGCAAGTGTTTTGTTCTGCTACGCAGAGAGACCTTTGTGTCAAGTCGGTAAAGCCACTTGAGCCAATGAGCATCGGACATATATACATGTGAGCATACAGCCATGCCATTGCTGAAAGTACCAACCCCTTTGGGAGTTTAGGCAAACAAACAGACACTAATTTTTTTTACTGTAAGCATGGCCGCGTGTCCACATGTATACATTTTCCTTAAAAGTATTCACTGTCTCGAAGTTGGCGGAGTATGGACTCAGTAGAAAGGATAATATCTTAGATATTTCTGACATTAAGAACAACTGCGAAGTACTCCTTTTCATGCAAGATGTCTAGCTCAGAGAGATCTTCTGTACATGATCAAGTCTGTTGTTTCTGCTACATCGAATTATGCACGGCTCACTTGGCTCTTGATAGAGCATGGTTAAATTGCCTTGGAGGAATGATCATCTCCAGTTGGGATCCATGTCTGGATTGTAAGACCTGCAGATGGCATTTGGATGCGGTTCATCTGGATCTGAATGATCCTCTTCTTCACTGGAAAAGATACCCAGCATCCTGTTTTCTGCTCTTCTGAAAGCTTCATCAATGCCGTCATCTCCATGCGTGGAGGTATCAGGTCTAGGTTTTGCCTTTGGCATAGCTTGTGAGCTGGTGGCCTGGGAACTTGACCTTGCCTTCGCCCTCGTTCTACGATGATTCTGTCCATCAGATGATGGCCATGAACGTTCGGACTCGTCTCCTGATGGAGAGAGGGCGTGCGCATGCATGTTGTCCCAGTGTCGATGGGTAGAAGGAGACGGTGGTCCGTCTTGTTCTTCTTCTTGATCACTCTCTGAGCTCTGATCGTCAAAGAGCGCTTCGAGGGTGTTCTTGAGATTAATGTGCTTCTTCTCAAGTTCAAGAGATGAGTTGACCAGCTGGTTGAGAACAGTCTTCGATTGTCTCAAGGCTGTGACAAGAATTGAAACTCTGGATAGAGTATCAACGTGTTTCTCAATTTGGTCTTTTCTTTCCTTGCGATCCCTCTCGGTAGAGGTTTTGAGTGCTTCTGTGAGCTCCAGAAGGTTTGTGTACCTTGGTAAAGGCATAGTGATGGTCATGTCGTTATCTTTAATAACGAACGAGTTATCGTCATTCTTCAGACATCTGGAGAGTGTTTCTATGACAGGAATGAATTCAGTTGTGAATGCTTCCTCTTCATCGAATGTCTCGATGTACTGAAGAATACTTTGAGTGAAGGTCTCAGACGAGCTGATTGTGACATCGATAGTATCGATGTGTCTGAGTATGAGATTCCGGCTCATCTGATTCACAGCGGCACCCTGTTGGGTTTCTTCGATCGCTGTATCGACGTGATTACAGAGCCCTTCATTATGGGCTTCTCTGAACGCCTTTCTTTGAATGCGCCTGTTTTGACCTCCTCTTCTTTTTTGACCTTTGGGTCTTGCTGAGGTCATGAGCGTCGATCCTTGAGAGGATGCCTTAGCCTTAGGCGGAGGATATTTCGGCGGAGGTGACAGGTTCTTGGCCATAATTGGCACTGGCGGTACAGCTGCAGGTGTGGATGATGTCGCACTTGATAGTGCTGATTGTCCTCTGGCCTTGGCAGCAGAGCTCTTTGGGAAGGAGGTGTACGTAACACCGAGTTGTTCATCTGCTAGCTGGGAGGCCAGTGCATCTTGCCACATCTCTCTCACGTGAGGAATGCTGCTTGCACTTTCATAAGCCTGAAGTCTTCCAATGTCTCGTTCAGTGCCACGTGGTCGTGTGTCACCTCTGTTGAATGGATCATTTCTGCTTATCTCCGCCGTTGTTACGGCATGCAGGCACGCTTTGCAGAGAATTTTTCTCGACAGATCCCTGGCCGATCTCAATTGATAACAATTGTTGGAAAGGTGATAGCAATCACTTCTTGATGTGTGCCATATCGGCCTCAGGTCTGTGGTCTCGCCTGCATTGACTCGATTGGGTCCAGGAATATCTCTGCCTTGAGGCTCGTCCTCGGGTTCGAGGAAGGGAACACTTGGCTTGGCTTTTGCCTTGGACTTCGGAACCTGTCGCTCCATGCACTGGACAGGAAATCTTGTCAGTTGTTTCCACATCCGTCGAAGTCCCATCAGCATGAGAAAGAGATTCCATGCGATGCTGAAAAGTGAATAATCTTGTTCACTGGGTAGTGAGTCAGGCAGAGAGGAATGATTCCGCGTTCGCTCCACCGTGCTTTCGATGACCAAACCAGCCGGACAGACTTGCTGCTGTTGCAGCGGTTTTGGCTGCCTTGGCACTTGGTGCTGACGGAGGACGCGACGATTTTCTTCTCCTCCTGCTTGAGGATTCTTCTTCTTCCTCTTCTGTCCGATGCGCATCCATCAGGTTTGATGTTTCGCGCTCGTGTTCTTCAATATCACTCTGTGTGGGAGACTGTTCTTCATCAAGTTCTTGGAGCTCATCCAGGGACATACCAATTTTCTCAACCACGTTTGGTTTTGGACGCCTCGACCTTGATCTTGGTGGATCATCCTGAGATGATGCTGCTCGCTCTCTTCCTGGTGGAGGATATGGCGGCTCAGCAGGTCT